TGCAGGAATCACTAGAGATGGGTTTAATGCGTGTGCATGATTCCGTTTCATGCGCATTTTTATATTTCTCTCTTTTTTAAGTTTTTTTTTTTTTAAATCTTTTTTATCATGCGATATTATGCGCATGAAACAATTCGTGTGCATTAATGCGCATTCATGCGCATGTTATTGTAAAATGCACATTTTCTCATCACAAAAATAAATGCATCAAAAAAAAACTTAGAAATTACAGGAGGTTTCATTTCGGACAAATAAATTTAGGAAAAAAAACAAGCAGTTTTTAAAAAGTGAATAACAAATAATGTAGTACGTACCGATAATTGAATATTAAACTTAATATATATAAGAAATTGATAGAAAATTATTTACAATTAAGGTTCAAATAGAATAGATATATGACTTATTTCAATTACCAAAGCATTTTATTAGCTATATATATATTTTTCGATTATTATTAAATTTACTCGCATCAAACACGATTAAAATTGAAGAATTTAAGTTCAGCAAATATTTACAATCTATTACAGTATTAATAGTATTAATGCAAAATTAATTATCGCATTTAATATTATCGCATTTAATATTTGTAATTCATAACTATATTAACTATTCATAAACATGTAATTTATTAATACGTATGCAAGTTTTATCAAATAAACATTAAGATTTTACAGAATTTAGCCGAAAAAATGTTTAATTTGAAATTTTTAACATAAAATAGAATAGTATCAAGTTTGCCACAATACTTCCAAGATTGTTTAATTAAATCAAATAACAAATATGTAATTAATAAAAACGAGAAGTAATAATAAGATGTCAATTGTTAACGATCTCAATATATCCGAGATCCTTCATTCTTAATGACGAAATTCGAATCAGACAAGCGAAATTAATATATAAAAAAAAAAAAATCATTTTAAAGTATACAAAAACTCATTAAAGTGTATAAATTAATAGATTTAATATATTACTAATAATAATTTTATTAATATATAATCAAAAGTTCTGGATTTGAAATTGCTGTGCAAGTAAGTGAATATTTCGACTTTTCCGTACTTTTGAGATAACAAAAAAAAAAAAAAAAAAAAAAATATATATATATATATTCGAGAACGAACTGTGAGAAATAATAATGAAATATAAATAAATTAAATTAATCTATAACATCATTTTTTGCAATTTTCCAGGAAAAATTTCCGATGACGATTTTTAATTATTTTTTATATACGTATTCACCAATTATAAATAAGTGATAATAAAGAATTTTATTATTTTGATACGTGCTATTTAGGTTTGTAGAACAAAAGCAAATTGGAAACCAATACGAAAAAAATCTTTTAAGTATTACTTAATAACGGTGATTTGTTTAGAATTCTTATATTTAATAATATACCATTAATTAGAAATACGAACTTAATGATTTGACGAGAGCTACGCAAATAAAGTTTTTGATAAGGGATAGTAAAGTTTCTGCGATTATTTTATCAGAATTATTTAATGATTGGTTCAGATATACAAAAAGAAAAAACTCATAAGAACTTGTATTTTTATTTTTATTTTTTTTATAGTTACTTATCATAAATAGAACACGTATCATATATTTAACAAGCAAGGATATGCATCTAATATAATTAATGCATAAATATCAAGGAAGATATTCAGCAAGTGATACAAGAAAAACTGCGATGATTTAAATACTGAAATATAATGTATTGACGTAATAAAATTGAGTATCTTTTAGTCTATGCATGGTAACATAAATAACACACAAATTTTATACGTAAAACTTTGGTTTATTAACGTTAATAAAATAATTCTTGTGAATTACATTAAAAATTTGGTAGGTGGATACGTAAGTACGACAATGAAAAAACAAATAATAATCGAAAGAATAAGCATAACCCCTATATCTAAAATACATTAATACTACGTAGTAACACGAGATTTAATTTTTTTTTTTTTAATAACAAAAAATAAAAAAAATTTTAAATACAAACATCATTTTTATTCCTTAGAAATTTTTTTGTTCTCAATAATTTAATTTCAACAAGCAAGTTTCGCAATTTACGATTTATAATAATATACGCTTCACTTTCTTTAATTCATCATGGGTAAAGTATTGTCAAGAGATCGAGAACAAAAACTTAATTACACCAAAATTTTTAAAATTAACAATGAAGAAAAACTTGATCGTGAAAACGAACGAACAAGTTTACGCCATAACATAGTGCGTGTGCTTTTTAATGGTAATTTTTCTGCTCCAGTAGAAGACTTGTTAAGAGAAGGTGGTGCCAAGGTTATTGATATTGGGTAATTCTAAATTGAATTCTTTGAATTCATTAATTGTTAATAATCAATTTTTAATATAATTAAAAATAAACCCCGTTTAAATTCTAAAATTTTCATAAATATATTTTTTTTATCTTGTTTTTTTTTTTTTATTATTATAAAGAAGATGTGGACATGGTACCTGGATTTGTGAAATGTCATCAGATTTCCGAAAAAGCCATTTTTATGGCACCGAAATTGTGTCAAAAGTTGTTCCACATTTAAAACCTTCAAATGTCACTATTGTTGAAGCCGATATTTTAAGAAAATTACCGTTCCCAGATAATCATTTTGATTTTGTT